AAGATGACTAGTAGAGGATCTTGACCGTTGGCTTGGTGTTGTCAGCACTACGCTCAGCCAGTGAGCAAACCAGCCATCCCTATATGGGATCCGAACCCATGGCCTTGGTGTTATCAGCACGGCACTCTCCTGAGTGAGCCAGGGGCCAGCCCTGAAGAAAATTTTTTGGAACAAAGCAGGGCATTTTCTTTTTTTCGTGGGGGTTGGCTTTTTGATGCTAACCTAAGGCTGGATTAAGTATTATACGGCACTCTCCTGAGCGAGCCAGGGGCCAGCCCTGAAGAAAATTTTTTGGAACAAAGCAGGGCATTTTCTTTTTTTCGTGGGGGTTGGCTTTTTGATGCTAACCTAAGGCTGGATTAAGTATTATACATAACAATGCTTATGCAATTATTCATCCAGACAGCTTCCATTCCAGGCTCTGGGCTGGAGTGGGGACATCAGCCATCCATGACAGGGATCTGAAATTTGCTCTGAGTCTTCTCAGGCCCTCATCCAAGACCATATCCTATCATTCCTATCCTCCTAGGAGGTCAACAGGACCTGCTTACTGTCTCCATGTTACTGAAAGGAAACTGAGGCTCCTGTTAGCACCATGTCCAAGATCTCAAGGGTATTAAGTGACTGTGGGGTCATGTCCAACTTCCTGTCCCACTGCTGCTGTTTGCAAAAGCCCTGGGGGAGACAAGACTGCTAAGGGGCTGCTGTGGCCTGGGGGATTCCAGGGGACAGGAGGTCTCTACTTGAAGTTATCACTGCCAAGACTTTGGTGGCTGGGTGGGGTGGAGTGGTGGAATAAAGCCATCACGAGGGCCTTGCTTGCCCTTACTTACCATGGGGTCTTCCATGCTAAGCCCTTTGCTGCTTGGTTGTGAAGTAGATGGTGTTCCCTACAAGGAGGAGGTTGTCCCTTGCTGGGAACAACCAACCAGCAGGCCCGCCTCTGCCCGAAGTGTTATCAACTCCACACCTGCATGTCCAGCTAACACTTCCACATCTCCACCTTAGTCTGGGTCCCAGCTGACCCCTACAGCCTCGAGGCCCCATGGTGACTTCTGGGACCTACTGTGTGACAGCCTCACAGTATGCTCCTTCCCCATGTCTTACTGTGGAAGACAAGTCCCATCAATCTCCTTGTGCTGCCCACCTCGGGCTTTTGTGGCTCCATCCCTATGCCCAAAGACCCTTGGCTCTGCTCTCCATGCAGCTGGGATCAGACCACGAGGTCTCTGCGTGGCCTCTCATTGCCACTCCCACCCTCCTTTCTCAGCCCTTCTGAGTATGGAAGCTCCGTGAGGGCGTGGCCAGTCTCCCTGCAGGTGCTTGAGGGAATGGGTGGTGACAGATCCCACTCAAAGTTGTGAGGACACAGCAGAGTGGGGTGCAGCCCAGTATCTTGAAAACTCTGGAAGGACTATGGTGGCCTGAGCACATGCTTGTGCCAGGGCAGGTCCTGGTAGGCCTCTGTCCCTTAACACAAGAAGTGGCAGCAGGTTGGATAGTTTCCACGTAGCAGCAGGTGGGAAAGCAAGGTCTAGAGATGTGGAAGATCTGGTTCCAGCTCGTCACTCTCATTCCCTCCAGCTGGGCTTGAGGCCCAAAGCCCAAGGTAGAAGGAAGGGGGATGGGTCAGCAGGATCCAGGGAGGCCCACACACACCCCTGGGTTGAGGCATAACTAAATGTATAGCCCTCCTTTTAAATGTCTCTCCAGAGGGACAAGATGACAAACCTAGAGCTAGAACTCAGCTGTCTAGTGCAAAAGCAACTTTCTGCCCAGTTTTCATGTCCACTAAACAGACTAGTTTTCCTTGCAGGAGTCACTCTGCCCTCTGGCTCCCTCATGGTCTTGGTCTTTTCAAAGCAAACTCAGAAGTACCCAAGTAGTTCATTGTGTTGTCTGTGTAGTCACATTGAAATACGTTTTATTTTTGTATAAATTACATTCTTTTATTTTCCCTTTATCATAGTTAGGGAAGGTAGGTAGGTTACATTATGTGTGCATTTCATTGCAGGATGGGAAAGGGGCATGTTACAGAAAGGGGGCAATGGGTCTATAAGGTTGGGAGAAAGTAGGGGCTGTGTCCAGCGCCTGGGCTAGTCAGAGGGGAAGCTGTAGATCTGTAGTGCTGTTAGTACTGTAGTGGACCCAAGCAGGCTTCACCCAGCAGCCTGGAAATTTAACAACAGCTGTTTATCAGTCAGTCCTTTCACTTGCACTAGCTCCCCATCACCACACCAACCCTGTGAAAAGAGAGCTCTGCCTTGCAGCTGACAAACATGGCATGGAGAAGGGCTGGGCCCCTTGTCCAGGGTTGTACAGTTATTGGCAGGGTCAGGACTAAATCCTAAAACCTAGACTGAGAACTATAAAGTCTGGGATAAAGTTAGCTGTAGAAATGCAAGCACTTCTGTTGTGACAGGGTCAGAGCTGGCTTGTATCTTTCTTGGTGGCTGGCTGGTACAGGGAGCTAACTGGTCAGCCCTGTGCATCTTTGACTTCAAGCTTCCTAGCAGCCAAAGAAAGAAGTGGATAATTCCCACTGGAGTCTCAGTGGCCATAACAGAAGAAACCAGCTATTTGGATACTGGGAGCTGAGAAGACTTGCTCCTCAGAAGTGAACGCTGCAGGATGTGGTGGGTGACATTCTACTGCTCGTACCACAAATACCTGAAATGGTTTGGCCATTTTGATCACCCAATCCCAATATGACTCTAAGGTAGGCCCAGCAGCAGCTACTTGCTGGCCTGGCTTGATCTTTGAGGCAGGTGGAATAGAGGACATGTAAAAAAGGAGGAACCTGAAGCCCCCCAAGTGTTCCTGCAGCTGCTGACACAGCCCCAGGGTTTGGGCTCTGCTCCTGTCACATCTCTCCTACCACGCAGCTCACCCAGACAGGCATTGGCTGGTCCTTCCACACAGAGCCAGTGCTCCTGAGTCCTGCTCTGGGCCATACAGGCTGGGGCTATTGCCACAGCTGGGTTATCCTGCCCCCATGCCCTCACTAGCCCCACCAACCTGGGCAGAGCCTGTGGCATGGCCCCTCAAGGATAGGCCCAAGGATACCCCCACTGTCAGGCAGCACAGCAGTTGACATACTGGCTCTGATCCATGGCAGGTGGAGTTCAGATCATGGCTCTGGGCAAGACCAATGCAGGTACTGGGGTGGCACTCACATGCACAGGGCTCCTGGGGGAGCTGGGAGAACTCCTGACCCATGCTCAGCTAGCAGGAAGGCGGCAGCCAGGGCTGCCTATGGGTGAGGAGGGGGAATCCTCTTTTCACCACTGGCTGCCTGCTCAGCAGTTCCTCAGCTGCTGGGGGTGGAGCTGGCACGGAGGGCCTCACAGTCAGAGTGAAACCAGCGGCTTTGCTGGTTAATCTCTGCGCTCACACTGGGGACTGGGCCCAGAGCGGAACTGAAAGGGAGACCAGGCCTGTTCCCCTCCTGGCCTGGCCTACTTCCTCCCAGTGCTCTTGAAGGCTGAGAGCCAACAGGGAGGTTGAGGGGCAGGCAGGGCCAACTGGAAAAGCAGGAGAAGGAAGTAGTTATTTGTACCTTACCCATTTTGTAGACAGGAAATGGAGGCTTTGAGGGCTGGCTGGCTGACTGTGCAAACAGCCTAAAGAGCAGAGGTCCCACACCCCATGCACTCCAGCATGTCCAGTACTAGTGTGGTCATCGTGTGAGGCCCACTCTACCCCATCCTATCCTGGCTGCAAGACCTTTGGGAGCAGGGAGTGAAAGCACCTTGACTTGTGCTGGTCCCTTGGGGCTAGGATCTATTAGTTGGTGTGGCCCCTTCCAGCCTCCTTTCCTCTTCTGACATTAGTGAAATGATGCAGTAAACCGTGGTAAACGTTAGTAGTGGTTCTTAAGTGGCTTGTTACTCTCCTCCAGCCTGCTGTGGGTGGGCCCAGACTGGAAAGGGCCCAACTTTGGCCAGGCCAGTGGATCACAATCCTGCTATCAGAGGTGCCTGATACCCTAGTGTCCAAATTAAGGTTAAGCATAAATTTCTGGGGATCCACTCTTGCACTCCCTTTTGGAAGGGCAACCCGTGTCCAAGATGTACCTTTTTGGGCTGAGGTGGAGGTCGGATCCCCTGAAGCCACTGGTGCCAGGAACATGCCTCTGGGCCTGCCTTGTTTCCACACCCCCCACCCCCAACTGAGCAGGCTTGTTAGTGGCTGTGGTGTAGGCCAGGAGCACCCTGGCTGTCTCCTGGCCTTGGGGGAGGGAGGGAGCCCATCTTTGTCCATTCCCCACCTGATCTCTGGATCCTCCCCTTCCCCCTTTATCTTCTTTTGGCCTTTATGGGAAGCAGCCATCATATCAGTCTTATCACAAGAGGAAGTAGAGGAAAGGAGATCAGGGAAGGGGCGACCCCCCTTCTAAGAAAACTCCCACCCAGAAGCTGGCTCCTGGGTTATAGAGTGCCCAGCTGGGTTGAGTCAGGATCTAGAAGAGGTGCTCCTGCTGGCAAAGGGGTAGGTAGCCATTTCCTACTCACTCTGCAGCCCTGTATGTTGGAAGTCTTGGGAGATTTGGGGGCTGAAGTTTTATGTGGCTTTATGGCTGGCTGTAACTTGGGCCAGCCATGCTAGGCTTTGCCCCTTTGAGTTTGGTGTGATGAGGGAGTCAGCGGCCACGTCACCTAGCTGACCAGAGAGCTCTCTGCTCCACCAGTGAGAAGAGTTGTCAGCAGGAAAACATGTTGAAGATTCCTGGGATGTCCACAGGTCCAGGCCAGGGGGGAGGGGGGCGCTCTGGGAGGGTTGGCCCTCAGCCAGGAGGGGTTTCTTGGGACCTCAGTGTGGATGGTGCTTAAGAGGCTGCAGGTGAAGAGCATTCTGGGGCCTCACTCGGCTCAACATGCCTGCTCAGCAGCAGCATGAACACTCACTCTGCAAGCAGGGCTCTTGGGGACAAACTCAGAGGCCTAAGTGGGGGAAGAGCCATCAGGGACATTCCTTGAGTGCCCCTCTTGGTCTCCTAGAGCTCAAAGCCTAAGCTACAAGCAGCCTGCTCCAGCATCCAGGAGGTCCGGCGATGCACACGTCTGGAGATGCCTGACAACCTCTACACCTTCGTGCTGAAGGTAAGTGACAGGACTTTTCACACCTGGGGTACTACATACACACACTCCTCAGACCCACACAACTGGTTCCTTTCCTCTCTGCCAGGTAAAGGACCGGACAGACATCATCTTTGAGGTTGGAGATGAGCAGCAGCTGAACTCATGGATGGCTGAGCTCCGGGAGTGCACAGGCCGAGGGTGAGGCCCCACCCCTGGCACAGCCTTTACCGCTACCCCTGACCTACACAGCTCTGTAACCCAGCCTCTTCTCCAGCAGGCTGGAGAGCACAGATGCAGAGATGCACATTCCTTCAGCCTTGGAGCCCAGCACGTCCAGCTCCCCAAGGGGCAGTACCGATTCCCTGAACCAAGGTGAGCAGGGCCTGGCTGTTGTCCTCTGGGTATGTTGGAACCCAGCTTCAGCCGAGGACATAAGGCACCCACCAAGAGGTCACCATCACCCATCTTCTCTACCAGGGGCTTCTCCTGGGGGGTTGCTGGACCCTGCCTGCCAGAAAACGGATCACTTCCTGTCCTGCTACCCCTGGTTCCATGGCCCCATCTCCAGAGTCAAGGCAGCTCAGCTGGTTCAGCTGCAGGGCCCTGATGCTCACGGCGTGTTTCTGGTGCGGCAGAGTGAGACGCGGCGTGGGGAGTATGTGCTCACATTTAACTTCCAGGGCATAGCCAAGGTATGGGCAGGGTGGGTGGGGGTGTGCTACCCTTCCCTCTCTGGAGCTTGGGGCCCTTGGGAGACAGTCTGAGCCCGCTGTCCTTGTCTCTTCCTGCAGCACCTGCGCCTGTCGCTGACAGAGCGGGGCCAGTGCCGAGTGCAGCACCTCCACTTTCCCTCTGTCGTGGACATGCTCCACCACTTCCAGCGCTCGCCTATACCGCTCGAATGCGGCGCTGCCTGTGATGTTCGGCTCTCCAGCTATGTGGTCGTCATCTCCCAGCCACCAGGTGTGAACCTGATGCCTTTTGCTAAAGGGGGTGGCTGGCACAAGGAAACCAGGTAGAGAGAGGGTAAAAGCTTGCTGTAGGCCAAGGAGTATAGAGATTTTATGCTGTGTCTTGTCAGCACTTTCTGTCCAGACTGACAGTGTGATCTCTCTCTCTTGGTCGCTTATCCCAGGTTCCTGCAACACTGTCTTGTTCCCTTTCTCCCTCCCTTGCTGGGATTCAGAGCTGAACCTTCCTCATCTTAGCTCTTCTGGCTGTCCCCGGGGGCTCAGCCCAGAGAGTCTCCCAGGCCGATCTTCACCCCCAGAGCAGATCTTCCATCTGGTGCCTTCACCCGAGGAACTGGCCAACAGCTTACGGCACCTGGAGCCTGAGCCTGTGAATCGAGCCCGGGACTCGGACTATGAAATGGACTCATCATCCCGGAGCCACCTGCGGGCCATAGACAATCAGTACACACCTCTCTGACTGGCAGTGAAGACAAGCCTCAACAGATGCCCCAAGGAGCACAGAGATGTGAACTCATGAATGTAATGATCTTTCTTTCCTTCCTTCCAGAGAGAGATTTAAGGGACACTGTTACCTGCTCGTTCCAGTTTGGATGTGACCCTTCTGTTAGGCCTGTTAAAGGGCCTCCTGTAAGTTCCATCCATCACCTAGCTTTCTCTTTATTGTTTACAGATGTAGTTCTTGTTCACAGATGCCAATAGCTCTTGCCCTGGGTCGCTAAGACAGGTCCCCGTCACTTTGAGGAGGAGGTGGGGTGAGGGCCAGAGCTGGCAGTGGAAACTTGTTCTCTTTTTCACTGACATTGTCACAACTGATGACAGATTTTCTACTGGGGGGGGGGGCAAGGGAGGTCCACCATCAGGAAGCCCAAAACACTAATAAGCCCTGGATTCTCATATGGTTTTCCCATTGTAGCTTCAGTCCACCTGGCAGGCCCACCGTATCTATGCCACAGATAATCACACCTAATCCTGCTTCTACTCTCAGCTTTAGGACAAAAGCTCTGTCAGAGAGACGAGCTAAAGGTCAAAAATGATTTTAAACATTTTACCTCAGATTAATTTTTCAAAGGATTCAGGTTTCAAAACTAACCCATTGCTTATTTCATTGCACTGTTTCAACAAATACCCATGGGATTTTGTAGTCAGAGACAGCTATGCAAACCCTACTTGACTAGTTCACGGCCTAAGCCAGCATGCCTGGCTTCCTTCCTTGTCTTTTGCACCCTCAGGACAGTCACCAGCTGCTGAGTAGCCACCGTCCTTCCTAAATGTAGAGAAGTGAAGCATGTCACCCTTTCAGGGAAATTCAGGCAATTACTGAGATAAGAGGGTGGCAAGGAACAGTTCTACCCTGGTGCCTTATGAATAAAAAACTGGATTCTGGTTTAGAGCAGCTTTATAGCAGGAGTTAAATTAACAGGTTGGGGGAGAGACAAGCAAAAAGAGAAGGGATCCTGGGCCTCTTCTAGTAAACCCTTCACCAACAGGGCTAGCTCCGAGCCCCCCAAGCATCCAAAGGCTTATTAAATTAGCCCACAAGTGGGTTTTAGGCTCCTTTTTGAGCCAAAATGGAAGCTAGGAATCTGGTGCCATAGCTAATGAGAAAGTCTTTTAATAGCCCACAATCAGTGTTCTGTTCTGGCTGGTTACTGCTTCATTTGATGAAGAATGTGTGTCCATGCACACACGGGCACACACAATGTCTACCATCCAGGGCGGTCCTGAAGTCAAATCTCCATCTATACTTGTCTTTCACAAGTGAGACAATTCACTGGGGGGGCTGGCTCCTCCCAGAAACTTGGTGTGGAGGCTCAGAAACAAGGGGGGCAGTGACAGAGGAGTCAGCTGCTCCTGGGTGCCAGCAGAGCCATTCAGTACAGCTATTAGGCTCACCACAGTGGCTTCTAGGAAACTAGGAGTTTAGCATAATTTAACATTTACAGATACACCAATTGGAAGCTAAAATGAAACCACGACCTACAATATTGCCTGCTTACCTGGGGGGAGGGTTTGGTCTGCTCCATTTAGTTATTATTCTCTGTACTCCCAAGAGGTTAGACTTCCATTTCTAGAATTTTCTGGCTTTTTTTGGGGGGAGGAACCACCTCTATACCACTTTTAAAACCAGCACACCTGAGTTTTTTCATGGCAAAGCAGATCCAACACTGATCCCGATGTGTGGTCCGTTTTTAAGGACACCTGTCTATTTTCTGAGTAAAGCAGGTTCCTCTAGAAAATGAATGCTAAGATGTGTGAAACAAAGAAGTAAACAATATTCTTGTTCTGTTTTGTTTTCTTTTGGAAGCTGGCTGGTACAGGGATCCGAACCCTTGACCTTGGTGTTACAACACCGCACACTAACCGGCCATCCCTCTGGGTTTCTTTTTTAAAAGAGGAAGCTCATCATAGAAAGTCAAGGCTGATGAATCACTGGTCCAGATTTTTCTCCCCTCTATACAGGAGAAGGGCCGGGTAGATAGTAAATTCCCTCTCTCCAGCCAGTGGCACTCATCTCTTAGCAGCCTCTCAACATACATCTCAGGTAGTGCAAAGAGGCACACCAGGTACAGCAAACTCAGCAGCTCTCACCTACTGGCTACAAAGAACAAGCTAAGATTCTGTGACAGAACTGGAAGTCACCTACCTCCAGACTGCTTCCTTTCAAAACACATCCAAGTTACCAGGACAACTCACATACATCCTGACAAAAATCCCCGTCATGGCCCTGGGAAGAAGGGACACTAAGCCAGTGCTTTTTCTTTCTGCTAGAACAGGTCCAGTCGGAGGAAGTGGAGCAGTTGGTGCCTGGGCTTGAGGCCCTCACAGGTGTGGACAGCAATGTGGGGCAGGCACCCTGCTGCTAGCCCACCACGGGCATAGTACATTCAACCACCCTCCTTCCCGTCCTGATGTGACCAGCACTGGCCACGTGAGCCCAAGCCAGCAACTTCCACTGAGAGCCAAGGCTCTGAGCACCAAACTAGACAGTAAGCGCCAGGATCCCTCCAGTGAGCTCTGATTGCAGATCACAAGTATAGCTTGTCAGCTCCCAGCACCATCACTTCTTTCATCTAACTTCATTGAACTTTTACAAACAGTCACCAGCACCAAAGAATTAAGTCAACTAACCTGCCTTGAATTTTAGACCAGCAGTCCATATGGCTTTATCTGGTATAAATCTTCTGCCTTTGATCATTTCTGGACCATGTAGGAAAAAAGAATAGCAATCATTAAAATCTTGGGCCAGAAAACACTATTTTTTACATAAGTTTCTTAAATGATTTTTTTCAAAGGCCTTGCACTTTTCCGAGGGTTGCCTGAGATTCCTTCATGCTTTTTCTTCAGGGCTAAGTCTTTTATTGCAAATGCCACGTTAGCTCTAACATCTCCCACAGACCAGAGGAGCTTGATAGTATATTTTATCCACTGCCTCTTAACAAGGACACATCTGACATCCAGTGTTTGGTTGGAATAAGCAGCACATATGATAACACAAGTAGATTCATCTTGTATCATTATAGGCAGAAGTTATTTGGCAAATTTTTATGTATTGTTTATGTACTGTACAAGTAACTTATTCTTGAATAATACAAGTTTTGCTATAATGTACAAATTGCTATATGTGAATTAAAGAGTTTTCAGAATCTTGATTTGTTGCCACAATACTTAAAGGCTCTGTTAAGATTATGGGCTTTCTACAAACCCTTACCCAGCTCCAAAACTTACTTTTCCCTTTATCCTCCTCCCACAATTTGGGGATATTAACAAATGCTTATGAGTCTATATCAATAAGCTGCTTTGTACATCTTTGTGTCTTTTCGGTCTTTCTGTCCTCTGGATTTCTTTATTACATCTTTTTTTTTTAAGTGTTTCCTGCCCCCTACTGGTAAAAACAGACAGATGCTTGAATTGGGACAACTCCCAATTACCCACTCATTTTGGTTCTGGAGATGTTAAAGGCAGCTTACAGAATCAGCATCAGCCTTAGGATGTGGAATTTCAGTGCTGCCCAACTCTGGCCAGCCTTCCTCCTCCTAGAGTATGATACCTTGAACCAGAACTGAGGTTGAAGAAACATCATTTGACAACTACCTTCCAGGATATTAAAAACACACTCAGCCTGCCTGCCTTGATATTAAGTATCCTCCAATAGAAGTAGCTTATACAAACACACGCTAACTTTATCAGTTTTTAAAACTTTTTTTATTTTTTAATTTTTTTTTAAGTTTTTATTTTATATTATCTACAAAGTAAAAGTTTTTCCCTTAACTTAAAAGTTGAACCACTGTAGACAGTGATCACCTCAAACTTGATTTATAAATAATAATCCGTCAGTTTGACGGTAAGAATTTACTGAACCTTTGTCAAGTTTAGTAAAAGGGCGTTCCGAGTCTTGATTTTTTTTTTAAAGCAGTAATAGCAGCAAGAATCACTCTTGTTACTTCTTTTGCTAGCTCATGTGTTCACGACTTTCAAGGGTCATTAAAAAATAAATAACTTCCAGTTTTGGCAAGCAGAGCTGGGGTACTTGCGGGACTTTGAAACAGCATGTGGAATTATGGAACAGCCCACAAGTTCCTAAATGCCTCTACTCGGTCCAAATATCTTCCACTGCAAGTGAACTGTTAGCATTCCTAGTGGATGTTACAAGAAATCAACATATATATATTTTAAAAACAAAATAAATGAAATTCTAGTTTTCTGTGCTTCCAGTTGGTAGAAGCAGTAGAAGGGAGGAGGGAATTTGGCCTTTCGGTTCCTCCAGCGCAGCCTTACAACTGCTGTTGGTGGTGGGCTTGTACTGTAAAAAAGAAAAGTGAATATTTAAACAGAAAACTGGCAACACTGCACATTAGCCTAGTGTCTCTGCAGCACATGACTGTGACCTATCCTTGTGCTAGCTGAACAAGACTCAAAATTTATTTTCCCCTCCCATCTGCACCAAGGTGGGGAGGGGTAGGTGGGTGGGGAGAAACAAACCAGTCAGACGTAAAACCACTTCAGATAAAACTCCCAGAAGACTTGTTGCTCATGGAGTGGGGGAAAAGGCCATAACATACCCCCTCCCCAAATATTAGCCAAGCACCAGTACTGCTTTCAGAATAACAGGTCAGAATGAACTATCACCATGGTAGCCATCAAGTATTAGAGCACAATCACGGGATGTTCTCTCCCTGGCAGGGCACAGGCTGGTGCTAACGCTACACTTGAAACCAGTCCATACACAGCACTTTCTCAGCAGTAGTCTTCTCCGGAGCTACAATCAAACTCTGCCGTGGTAATAACCCCCCACATGTCAGACTGTTGGGACTCAGGAAGGAAAACACTGCCCTGCCCAGCCTATCATAACAAGGAAGGCCAACTGAGTCCTAGGCATGCATCAGCTACACAGAATGCTGCTGCTGCTCATCAAGCCAAATCCTGTATACCATCAGAACACACACAGACTCAGCTCCCAGAAGCCTCAGGCCCTGGCACTGAACATCACAGGCCCTCCTGTGCACACACTTGGACGGGTCTTGCTAGCTCTCAAATGCGGGGCTTGAAGCACTGGCCCCGCCTGCCATTTGACCTGTGCGAGCAGAATGCTTTGGGGTGCCCGGCGGCCCCTGCACACACACGCCTCACCTGAAGGGTGCGTCATATAAGGGAAATGCGCTGTTGTCGAGACTGGAATGGGCTGTAGTGCACTTTGAGCGAGGGCGGCCTGGGGACCGCCGGGTGGCTGTGTCGTCATTAGCATCATTGGCGCATGGGCAGTTGGATGAGAAGGAACCATTCCTGACTGTACATGAGCCTGAAACAGAGAGCTCTTTTACGCATACAGGCAACATCTCCGGCTTAAACAGCATGTCAACTATGTTCCTTTCACTGGGCTGGGACTCGGGAAAGGGCGACAGTGTGCCTCAGGGCACCATTCTTTTCTCTGGGGACACTCCCTAGTGGATCATCAATTCACCTAAAGACATGCTTCACCGTTCAGCAGATCCAGCAAGGCTGGGGAAGCAGGCACTAAATTAGCCTGGGTAAAAGTCAGGGCTACAATATCCTAGCTGTCAACATTTCTGATCATTGTGTTCTATGTATGGGGCGAGGTCTTCACAAAGATCAGACCCCTGATCCAATGGTACCTTTCTCAATATGATGCAAAATGCAATGATGCTTCAGAATTTGGCTTCCATTTGGGGTCTAAAGTAGTACAGATTAACACTGCTTTCAAATAAGAAAACAGACTGCTACATTATAAGCAGGAACCATCAAATTCCATTGTCTAGATTACTCAGACTTCTCATTTGCTTCTCCCCTCTGCTTCTGGTCTGCTCACCAGACAGTAAGGAGAAGAGACTCTTAGGCACCCCTTACTCTCTAAAAGATATGCTGATGGAGCAGGAGGAGGAGAAGGGTGCAGTTAAGGCTCCAGTGAGATGGGAAGGAGCAATCTGAAATTACCTGGGCCAGCCCGGTATCCCTATACCAAGTGATATCAAGTTCAATCTGATCTCCCTGTCAAGTTGGAATGGTGATTCTAGTCAGCCCAAATAGCTGGATCGCAGCTCTGCAGGGGTTTGGCAGGGCCAGGAAGAGCCCTTGTTTTTTGCCTCCCATACTGTGCACTGACCCAGACCATTATAAGTCTGGAATGAAATGCTGTTTTTACTCTCATTTTCAAACAGACTTATGGCATATTTGGGCTTCCCTGTGTTAACTTTCAGCACAAAAACACAGAAGTGAGTTTAGGGACCCCAACTTGCATGTAAGTTCACATACTTACTTAGCCACCAGCCTCTGCTAGACATCTACAGGACGCCAGCTCTCATGAAGTGATTCCAGCACACCACGCTGGCCCACACTGACAGACCAGCTCCCCTCCCCACTATCAGAAGCAAACGAACTGCAGTGCACTACACTACAGAGCCTAAACTTTGCAGGGTGAGGACGCCCAAGCTTCCCAGAGCTGTGGACCTCTAGTTACAAGGTAGCCTTCTCAAAGATAAATCCACCTGAGTCGCACCTCTAGCCCACACCTCACCAGAGCCTCACTGGCGCACTGTGACAGGAAATGGAATTCAATGAGGTGGGTCTCACTTAGACCCGCCTAAGAAGAGTTATGAAAGTAGAAGAAAGAGACAGCTAATACAGCCAATTCACCCTTTACAGCCCCAAGGAGGGCCTCAAGGACATGGTTAGAAGCCAACTTCAGTGCAGCTCCTTCTCCTCATTAAGACCATCCAACTTGGCCTGGGATTGCACTGGACCTTTGTCAGCAGCTGATGCAGACAGCAAACACTGAGATGGCAACCACACCTTTCAACCCTTAGAAGCTTACACTGGAGGTGAGCTCCAAAGTGCTTTCAGGGCTGCTCTTTAAGAAAAATGGGAACACTGGGTGCTTCCAGCTTCTAGTTATACTGCATTAGTTACACCAATGTGCAAGGCCAACCCCTCTCAAGAAATACAACATATGGTCAAAGTGGATGTATGGATAATCAGAGATAACAATTGAAGAGATTTCTCTGGAACTCATGTGACTAACATTCAAGCTGACAGGCCCAGGGTAGTCACCTCAGAGATCTGAGAATCTGTGAAGGCCCATCATCCCTGCCAGCCTTCTGTGTATGTGTATGGAAGAGTGTATATAAATGTACACACACATATAGCAATGAAGCTATACAGACATAGCAAAGCAGACAAAGAAAGCAAAGAAGGACTGGGTTGCATTCCAGAGTCAAAGATATTTTTAAGGTCTCAGTTGGGAAACATTAAAGGACAAACCAATCAGCAATTTCACTGATTCCATTACAAAACCACATAAACATTCATTTAGGGCCAGATTACGTGTATTTAAGTGAGAAAAGGGAGACAGGCATATGGCATCACACAGAGGGTTTCCTAGCTTGGACAGCATCTGGCTCTTTGCTGCTTATCTGATAACTTTTGTATTCTACTTGGTCTTCACGGAAAGTTGGCTAAAACTAGTTTACCTGAGGTACGTGGGCCATGTGGGGTGGATTGGTATATGCCGGCTGAACATGAGAAGGATGGATTGTAAAGACGGTCTGTTGTGCTGCTGGGAAACTATTCTGAGGCGACTGCGTATTGGAGGCAGGTGTCATGGAAGGTGGGGTTGGCGCGAGCCCCGCGTGGTAAATGGCTGACTGCTGCTGTGGACTGGCCAGATGGAGAGCCTGGGCAGCTTGGTGCTGATGATGCTGCAAAACGATGAGAAAGAATCAAGAGAAAAACTCCTTTAATGAAAAGTAGTTAGGGGTTACACACAAAGCTGAGTTTAGCATGTGAAAACCAGCTACCTGGGCCTAAGATGAAGAGCCCTGGAAAGTACAGGAGAACGCACACGGTGGTAAAAGCAGGGTTGGGGAGGTACCTCCTGTCCAGACATGGCTTTGGGGGTGCAGAAGCCTGATCCTCAACCTGGCAGTTACAAGCCCCCAAACAAGCAGAAGTCAAACCAGACTACTGCCCCGGAGAGTTGACAGATGTCAAAGAGATTCTTAACTGCCTCCATTAACAAACATGATTAAAGAATAGGAAAAAAACCTCATCACATAAACTTTAAAAACTTAAGAAGTCTCAAGCAAATAGGCATTTGCTTTATGCTAAATTATGAACTTTATTTATTTACTTATTTTTCTTAAAGATGACCGGTAAGGGGATCTTGACCCTTGGCTTGGTGTTGTCAGCACCACGCTCAGCCAGTGAGCGAACCGGCAATCCCTACACAGGATCTGAACCCGTGGCCTTGGTGTTATCAGCCTGCGGTGTTATCAGCACCGCACTCTCCCGAGTGAGCCATGGGCTGGCCCCTAAATTATGAACTTTATATTGGATTTTTCCACACTAATGTAAGTTTCCAGAGTTATCCTTATTCTCAATATGTACCTTAATGTGATTTAAAAAAAAAAACTAAAAACCAACCCAGGGGCACAACTGTATGCTGGTCACATGAAGGTGGACATGCTGTGTGTTCTGATTATGTGGTACCCTGCACCTTGCTTGGCACTGAAGAAAGCACTCAGTAACTAGAACAAGGAAGTAATTGTATGCAGGCCGCTGAGTGTCCCTTTACCTGAACAGGACTGGGAGCAGGATGACTTCCACCATGCTGGCTTTGCTGCTGTCCAGTGGGGGTAGCTGAAGGCTGAGGATGTGGAGTATGTGGGTGCAGGGTAGCATTAGGGTGCGCGTACTGCTGAGCAAGGGAGCCCGTGGAAACTAGAGCGAAAGAAAAAGGAACATGTACAAGCAGCATGTGTGCTGACCTTTTTTATTACTCCTCTATGCCTCATCAACTGAGCTTTCCTGATGGATTTTCAATGCCTAACTCATGCCACTAGCGATCTCTAGTGGACTCCATTTAAACCATCCATTGTCTTGAAAAAATATGAAATTATTGCTTATGAATCAAATGCTAGTCTGATTATTAAGATAATATAGCTGTATACATTATATTAAAATCTAATTAGTTTGAATTTACTCCTAAAGTAGTCACTAGGTTCTCCTGACAAGGCAACTTTAAAAAGCATAGGCAGAAACAACTCAAACAATCCCATGCACATACACACATGTGCACTCTCTTTAGCTCAAGGCCATCATCTGGCTAACCTCACCATGCTACTGCCCTGGAGCTGGCACAATGTCCTGTAGGAACAGACTATATACTGGGCCTGGGGAAGGGGCTGTATAAGGTATGTGACAAGATCAGGGCTCCATCAGAGCTGAATGACTACAGTCTCTCTCAGCCAATCTCAGGAGCCACTCTGCCACTCAGTTTGTTCCCCTGGCCCTACTCAAGGATCTCCCATCTTTGCTTTATACAATCTAGTAGATGAAACTACCTAAACTATGTTTTAAAAAAAAAGAACTCCCTTCAAAACACCCCAGCCCTTTAGAAAGAATTTTACTACCTAGAATAACTTCAAGGAAATATGATGGGCTAGTTTAAGTTCAAACGTGTTCATTAAAGAGAAGAACCCAAAGCCAATTCTTTATCAATCTCAGCGTGGACCATACCTTGGTACAAAACAGGGTGATTAGGTACAAATTTGTCCATGCCTTCCAAAAACAGCAATTTGAGAATCAAATGCACAATAAGATGGCTAACACACTGATACACATCCAACATTAATGTGGCAATGAGCTGAGAACAGTGCTCTCAAGATGTAGCTCTAAACAAGACATGATTCTCAGCCCTCTCATAAGAAATGAATCCTGGGGCCGGCCCGGTGGCGCACTGGATAGTGCGCCGCTTGGGAAGCGCGGCGGCGCTCCCGCCCAAGGGTTTGGATCCCACATACAGACCGGTTCCCGCTCACTGGCTGAGCGAGGTGCGGGAGCAATGCCGAGGGTTGCAATCCCGTTGCCGGTCCCCGGTCCGGTACGGGGGCAACACTGAGGGTTGCGATCCGTTGCCGGACACGGAAAAAGACAAAAGACAAAAAAAATAAAAATAAAAAATAAGAAATGAATCCTAAGTCCCTTAGAAGCTTAGCCCATACACAGAAACAGAACTCCAAAATAGTTCTTCGTATTCTTCATATAACATGTTAGCAAACAGACATTATGGGGGACTGATAGGGGAGAAGCAAGCACTGCTTTGGGACCAGGCACCCTAACTCCAGCAGTCTAATAAGCAAGGCTGCCAAGAGTTCCAGCATGGATGACTCTGGGTATATCCCATGTAAATGGTATGCAGAGGGTTAGGCACATGAAGCAGTTCTGTAATGCTTAGTATTGTAGGGCTAAGGGCCATCAACACTCCAGCCTAAATAGTTATGTCTCCAATTGCAAATGTGAAGGAAGGGCAAGGCGAAGAGCCAGTGCTAGGATCACCTGTGCATCCACTGCCAATGCCACAGCTGGCACTAATATTCTTTACTACCCAGTTTAGACTGAACAAAGCAGTTTTGTTTATACATTGGGAAAATTTTCCAGACTCTAACAGTTAACATACAACAGAACTTTTAAACAAGAAAAACGTGGCAAAATGTTTTGAATGTTTTTAAGAGTAGTGACTATTTTCTGAGAGCTGGGAAAATTGTGTGTTCACTGTCTTCTTGAGCTTCACAGTCCCATTCGTCTATGAAAGCAGCCACTTTCTTCTACCTCATTAGCTTATTAAAAGGCCATGCTTCACCATCAAACTCATTCAGTGCCCCAAATTGTGTAGGCACTGACTTGATCTGAAAGACTTGACATCGTACTGGCCAGCCCCCAATAAAATAAAATAAAATAAGACAAAAGAAAAGAAAACAAAGCCTTCACATAAATTTTGAACATGACTTTTTGGTTCCTGTAAAAATTTTACTCTCATTTTAAAAATTTATTTTTGAATAATTAAAAGTCACACATATGTAGTGGCTACTGTATTGAACAGTGCAGTTGTGTAGCACATTCCATCATAACAAAAAGTTCTATTGGATAGTGATGTCTAGAGTCATCATTATTTTTAAACCATTAGCATTAAAATCGCACCATCCCCCCATCCAGCTTCTTAAATGTTTCATTTGTAGCAATTCTAAATCTGTCTGAGGGAAAACAATTCCCAAATCCCAAATTCTATTTATGGGGTCATAAAGATATTGTACAGAATCTCAGTTTTACTTTTTCATTTATTTATTATAAATTTAATTTTCACTTTATTCAATAAATTTTGTGCTGAAAACTTTTAAATTTCACTTTTAACTGCCATCTAAGCAAAGTTTTAAGAATATAAAAAAGTAACAATACATAAAAAAAATATATTCTAGCTGAGTGCTATATTATTTTTACATATAAAACCATGACAATCACAAAGAGAATAATTATGCCCGGGAAGTCTCGTAACTGAGTTATTCATCAATTGGAAAAACATAAAAATCTTGAAATTATTTGGAGAGAAAATTAAAGATATTTATAATATGCATTTTTAAAAGACATTTCTGTGATATCAGTTTACCAATATTTAAAGGCTAGAAAACAGTGTACTAATCTTTAGCTAATTTTCATGCATAGCACAAATACTTCAAGGAACTTCAAGCTGAGTAAATCTACATACATAGGCTTTGTTTTAGAAAAAAAAAAACACCAAAAACCCATCCTTTCCCTACCTAAATATCAGTAAACCAGAAGGCATTATTAAAAAATAAAAATTCAGGAATATATAATATATATACAACAAAAGCTGCAAATAAAATTTAAGGTTTAACTATAAATATTTCCCTTCATTCATCTCATAGCTCACAAGATTTGAAAGCAAGTTTCTTATATATCCAGGAACTCTTTTTCCCCCTCAATATGAAAATGAGTATCTCATTGGGAAAATGTGAAACTTACACATTAATTCAATAGTAATAACAACTAAAACATAGTTTGGTTCCTTGAAAGGCCAGTTAAGAGTGATACAGACTGGGACAGAAGGGAAATTAAAGAGCCAAGGGGGAAAAAAGGTTGGGAGGATAGAGAGAGACAAGAGAAAGGAACCAATATAGGGTAAACAAGGACAAAATATAGCAGAATCAATGAAAGGGAGAAGAGAACAGCAAAGGGCAGGAAGTTCTGAGCTAAGTGTATTATTTAACTGCTTTGTTATACATGCTCATTTTAGTTAAAGATTCCAGAGAGGTTAAAAATAAGTGACTTTTCTTTGAAATTCTGATTTAGCTTTTAAACCTTATTTATTCAATAAATTTTATGCTGAAAACAGTTAAAACTTCTATTTATAAAACTTAAGTAGCCTTCATAAAATCTTCTGGATTAGGTCAAGATAATCAAAGTAGTATTGCTTCTTTGGGTTAGACCGGGTCCAGAAGTTTCCCATTCAATGTGTTCCTTGACATAAATATTTAAAATTCTAAATATGTGATTGGTCAAATCCTTATAACACTAACCACATTCCAAAAATAGTTTCCTAAGCCATGATCTTACTGAAGCAAATTCGGTACACAAGACTGTGTTTAATTTGTAACTAGGTTTTGCCACTTTGACCTTGGATGCACAAGTTATGAGAGATCGCCAGCACTGCCAAAATTTTAAGAATGAAACAAAACAAAATCTTCCAACTTTTAATTTGATGTTAAATTCAGAAAAAGGGAAGCAAAGGAGAGCTGAAAACACTAGAAGGGGAATAAAAGGCAACTTGACTAAATCGTGACAAAATGGCTTAGAATGGGGAAAATGAAGCAGCAAATTAAGCTATAATTAGCAGCCCAACAGTTAGTTTCTTTGAAAAAGTACTGATATTCCCTTTTGGGGGAAGTTGTGCTAAGGCAATTAATGCTTAGGCGTGATGATTAAGAATCTTTCAGCTACTTACCAGGAAAGTAACTCCAAAACTACTAACAGAGACAGTAAGATGGTGAGGATAACTACATTTGAGACCTCAAACTGAGTACATAATAAAATTAGTTACTGACACTATCTTTTACGTACCATAATCACAGACATAGTCTCCCTTTTATTATATACATACAGCAAGACTCCTTTTAAAGAGCATCTATTAAAGGATTAAATTTGTTAACATTTCCTAGCACCAAATAAATAATAAATACGTACATACTTTATCAACTTATTTTTGGATACCAAATCATGGCACAATTAATGAAAATTTAAGATCAAAATGCTTTCTAAATACTAAATCTGGTATTTAGTAGAGCCAGACATTGAGTCATTAGAAAATAATTCAAAATTTAGTCCCTAATATAAAATTTTAATCCTTAATATTCTCTAGAATATAGTATTTCATGCAAAGTGACATATTAATGGCATAAACTTCTAAAGGGATTTCTACAAGTTAGTATCCTTTTTATCCAAATACCAAAGTCCATGACTAGCCTTATTTTTAAAAATTGCCTACAAATAGGGAAAACATATCTTACAAGTTCATTTCCGAAAGAAAGCCCTGCTTGCTTTCTCCACGTAGAAGCAACTATTTACCTTTTCACTTGTGGGGAGAGGGGACTGCCAAAGACAATCCCTGGTACAGGTCATGCTTTCCTGCTTAAACTCAAGACGTCCAAAGATGTGTGCTACCTGAATATTTTACCCTTTTAGTCATGCAAAGCCTGAAAGTACAGAAATGTCTCTCCCCTAGTATTTCATCAACCCTATTCAATTTAAAATCCTGGTAAGGATAAATTTCTTCTTCAATTTTATATACCAAGATTTTGGCTTGGTATAAAAAAATTTTAGATGTTCAGGAAAAGTTTCTCTAACAAGGAAAATATTAGGTATTTTTCCCAGTCACATGTTTGCATGGTATGCAAAAATTAATTTCTGAAACAACTCAATTTTTTATTAACTCCAGCTTTCTTATACTGGGTCACATTTCCTTTTTAAAAACTGAATTATTTACAAATATACATACTTTTAGTGATTTTGTCTGGCACAAGGAAAATACTGTTCAACAAGTCTACTCCCTTAACATTTATTCTTTAAAAAGTGTTTTACTGTACAATTAAAATTAGTATAAAAAACCCAACTCACTGGCAAAGTAGAAAGAAGGGCTTGTCTCCTTGTTGTATGGTAATTTGGGACATGCTGAATTTGGGAAATAGAAAGGTAAATTAGCCTTCTGAGATGTGCATTTTCCTAATTTTCTGGAAAGGTTGACATATTTAGTAATTTCTTTCTGTATTCATGCATAATTCATTTTTATTTTACAGAAGATGATGAGCACTTTAAACATTGCTACGGAATTTAAAAAGACAGGACTAAACCAAAGACAACTTTTCTTCTGTATTGGGGTGTCAAGTTCTGCATGTTCACTCGCTTAAATGAAAGGAATAAAATCATTATCTAATAAAAAGACCAACATGGAATTCCACTGAACAACCTTGATATAAATAATGTACCAAAATAAAACAATATTTATCAAGTTTAATTCAAAAGACAACTTTGCAAAACATTATCAATAGAAATATCATTATACTGAAGTATGTTTATTAGGCATCTGGAAGTGGTCCAAAAGTTTAGAAACATAACAATAATATAAACATCGTTTCTTTTTATTTCTTCTTGCTACTGTATTTTTCCAACTAATCTGCATTAAACTACCAAAAACAAACCACAGAAAGAATTCTGAATCTAACTATTCCTGATGGTTCTAGTTAGTAGAAAAAGTTTTATCATTACTGTTTCTGAAAGGTGAACCCATCATCATAAAACAGAATTAGATGAATCAGAAGAATAGATGTGAGAGAGACAAAAATTAAAGTAACTTGTTAGGAGGGAGGGGGCAGAGGCCATGATGAAAGTTAGATTAAGGTCAGAGAGAGGAGGTTACGACAAAAGTCCTTTCTAAGAGAGCTATAATGAGTACAAGGTTAACAATAATTTAGAATGTACATATCTCCTACACTATTTAACTGTTCAGCAATCTGTTAGTGTATTTATATTAAATATACCAAAAATTTAAGAACAATCATTGGTATTTCATTTTGCAGTCATTAGCACTCCTCTGTATTTTCAAAGCCTTTTGCTGAGGCCATAACAATTATTAGAATGACAAAAAGGTGACATAAAATTATCACCAACATCTGGGTGCATATATTTTAAAAATCTAGGTAGGATGTGGCTTAAAAATAAACAATTCTTACTCAAAGCACAGAAAAATGAAATTAAAAGAATACAAATCCTTCCTTTTAAGACCCCTCATATCTGGTTCCTTTGGGAATATAAAATATACATTTACCTTGTTCAAGGTAGATCAGTATAAAATTAGCATTTCTTTGCAACAGTTTTGTCATTGTTTAAAAGAACGTACTTTTAACATTTTGTTTATATTCAGCCTAATTAGGCTTTGCCATTTTTATTTATTTATTTTTGGCAGCTGGCCAGTAAGGGGATCTGAACCCTCGACCTTGGTGTTATCAGCACCACGTTCTCCCAAGTGAGCCACCAGCCAGCCCATAATTAGGATTTGAAAGACCTAAAATAACTCCAATAAATTACTGAAGACTTAATAAAAGAATCTGCATTAGAAGATTAAATTATGGTTTATGGTAACAAAGGACAAAATAATTCATTTCCTAATTTTCTTTTTAGGGTCTACAGAAATCCTAAAAAGAGAACGTTGATTAACCAGCAACAATCATACCAAATCCACAGTTTTGCCCCTAGCCTGCCTCATTCAACAGACACCAATTAAATACAACCTGTGTAAATTGCAGAGTAGTTCAGATTTAGTTGAGCAACTTCCTCCTAGCATGAAAGAACCAGCTTTGATGACTAGTTCATTCCAGATTTCACCGGACATTAGGTTTAGTGTTTGTTTTGTTTGCAATATTTCCTATTTGCCCACACTTGAATGGACTTTGGGGTTCAAGGCCAACTGCTTTTCAAATGGAAATATTCTGGAAGGGTAGGTATAAAAACCATTAATGCCTCAAATACAGTATTTACTGTACAGGCTGTTTCAAACCAATGAACATCCATACAAAAGATGAAACCAGATGCTGGCAGTGAGTGAACACACTGAGAAGAAAGATTCTGCACAACATCACAGTATTACTACAATGTCTCAAAAGCATGGGTACACAAATAGCTATTCTCTAAAAGCAATGGAAATTTTAGCTAGAAAGTTTCAGATCCTATTCCAAGGGGAGTATGCCAGAAAATGGGAGGAAAGAAATGTTTTTTCCACTTGTTAAATCATGATGTATTCACCAGAAATGTATAAACAATCATAACGAACTTTTCACCTAAGCCTTTAGCAAACTGGTAAATTGTTGAAATGTATACAAGTTGCATAAAAGCCAGTGTGATGAAACAATGGGGCCTTTTCATACATACCCTAGTTCTGGTTAAAACTAAAGACAAGAAGAATTAAAAACAAAAACAAGGGGCCGGCCCGGTGGCGCACTGCTACAGTGCACCGCTTGGGAGCGCGGCGGCGCTCCCGCCGAGGGTTCGGATCCCACATACAGACCGGTTCCCGCTCACTGGCTGAGCGAGGTGCGGGCGCAGCGCCGAGGGTTGCGATCCCGTTGCCAGTCCCGGTCCAGTATGGGGGCACGACACTGAGGGTTGTGATCCGTTGCCGGACACAAAAAAAGACAAAAAGGGAAAAACAAAACAAAACAAAACAAAACAAAAACAAAAAAATACACTAAAAGAAAATGAAAAAAAAAAAAAAAAAAAACGCAGAAGATAAAACTAAAGACAAGCCAAATGACAGGAGACCATAATCAAAATCATACACCAAACCAGTCTGTCAGTATATTCAATTAAATTATGTATGGATTCACGGGCTGGCCCGGTGGCGCACTGGAGAGTGCGCCACTTGGGAGTGTGGTGGCGCTCCCGCCGAGGGTTCGGATCCCACATACAGACCGGTTCCCGCTCACTGGCTGAGCGAGGTACGGGCGCAGCGCCGAGGGTTGCGATCCCGTTGCCAGTCCCGGTCCAGTATGGGGGCACGACACTGAGGGTTGTGATCCGTTGCCGGACACAAAAAAAGACAAAAAGGAAAAAAAAAATAAAAAATAAAAAATAAAAA